TAGATGGCTGGCTATGTGGTTGATATGCACAGTTGAAATGCCAACAATGAACCCTCAATTTCTTCTTTTCTCATTTTCAGGGATTATGTCTTTAAATATTGCATAGTGTTTCTATCTGACTTTACAATTATTTATCACAGTCTCCAGACTGTTTCCATACTTAATTACTGGACTCAAGGCTGGAATATTTAAATTAAATATGGTCATATATTATGCACTGAAGAGAAACCAGTTATATTTTTGGGTGTAAAGCTATTATAAAAGAAGGCATTTTTTGTTTCCTATTTGTATGCACGCAAACATTCCTTTAGATTTAGTTAATCCAGGGTCTCTCAGTAAGGAAGTTCTACACCTTTTTCTTGAATATCCTGCTAGATAAGTAGAAATAGGAATTGTTGCTTTACAACTGTTGCTATGCTGATGTAAACAACCTATTGTTTCAAAATGTTGCTTTATTTGAAGTTCATTCTTGCTGGTGAGAATTGACTATTAAATATTCTTTTTAAAAAATTCCAGTTGATAGCAATGGGGAACCTCTCAGTTGGAAATGATTGCCATTTCCTTTCGTTTATTACAGTTTTACAAAATACACAATTGGAATTTTTTTCAATTTACAGCCTTGTTTAAATGCCTTCTTTATATAAGTCCTTCAGATCTTTAAAACCAGCAATTCTTTTTAATAGGCATATGCTGATAGTATAGCATCAATCGTCATAATGAATTTTGTTATTTAGATCCTAAATTAGATACAAGCTAATATCACCTTATCATTCAAGAGTAATTCATTTTATAGCATAAAACTATTTTAAGAAAATTGTGTTCAAAATGTCAAATTATAATTGTCATGATTGTCCATCAGTATTGACCAAATATACATATATACATGGAATTATTAGCTAATGCTGCACATACTACATAACTTTTGCACTCTGGCTTTAAATCTAAAATAGAAAATTCTGTTGTACACACATTAAAGCACAAAATAGTCTGAAAAATCATATAAAGATTCTTATTTTATTAAAATGTAAAGAATCTGTTGTCTCAGACACTAATGTGTTTGGGTAGACCTTGACTCTTTAGAGAAAATGATGGTTGTGTTGATTCAGATCTTTATATAATAGCAAGCACAAATTTCATAAGAAAGTTAAACTGTAGGTTCTTGCTCACTAACAGCATTTGTGGTAAAATTTTTTTGATATTTTTAAAATTTAACAGTATCATTATATATTATATATATTGTAGGTTATTTGATACTTTTAAAATTTTAACAATATCATTATATATTATATATGTTGTAGGTTATTTTATATAACGTGTTGTATACAATATGCATATTATAAAGTTATTTTTAATGCACTCTGATTGTTAGTAACAGTGATTAAGTATAGCTATACAAAATTCACAGTTCTATAAAGAAAACAGAATTTACTGGGTTTATTAAAAAGGTAGTAGAAATATGATTTAATAATTTTAGATGAAAAAAAGTCAATGTACTCACTTAGGACTAGTGCAGAAATAAACTGGAAAATAGAAGAGGCCCCTTTAATGTGTGACAAGAACTAGCATAGGTACAATTATGTCTTAAGGCACACATACAACATACTCTCAGTAGATGTTCCTAATTTTCTGAAATTATAGATAAATAAAACTCAATTATTAAGAATATTTCTACTTTTATTATTGGTCAAAGACATCTTTGTCTGGACCCTTAAAATTTTTCCACACTGACACAGTCAAGTAGAGAATTAAGGAAACTGTCTGAAAAACACAGTTCACAATTTGAAGGTGGAAGAAGTATTTCAGGGGAATAAAGGTTTTATTTTATTTTTTTAAATTTTTCAGTCTATTTATTCCTTTTGATGAAATTAACTGAACTCAATTGGCCAGTTCCCTACGTAAACTCCAACAAGGAAAATAAAACATCAATAATTAAAATTTTATTTTCTTTATTTAATTAGTTAAACTCTAAGTAATTTTTCTCCCAAACTATACTGTAGTTTTAACACACATGATGTCTTCAACCCATAGAAAAAAAATACTGCTCTAAATGGTGATTTTTTTAAATGCCTCATGTCCCTTTATTCTTTAAGGAGTGTATTTACCAACACAAATCTCTTCTACCTTTTGTAAGTATAGAGTCAGGCTTATTTACGCAGAAAGATGCTTTCTTAATGGGCATTTAACTCATCCCCACCTGACTAGAGCATTCTTCACAGCCCCAGTTCCTGAATACACACGTGGTACTTATGGGCAGGCCCTGATTGTGGACATTATCCACCCAGGAATGACTGAATCTAGTCATGTTTACCGAAAATGCTCACTGTGATCTCTTCCTTCTTTGGAAAGCATGCCAGGGTGGAATCTGGAATGGCAGTGATCACTGAGAGTAGGAATGATGTTGCTGAGGCTTAAGGGTGGGGAAAAATCCTTAACTTTTCTACAATAACAATAGCCGTTATCTTAAATAGTGCCTTATCCTTCACTCTCAGGCTCTGATCAGCCTTGTGTCACTTGAGACAAGGACAAATCCTGAAGTGATTGCTTGTAGTCTATAAGCAAAAGTGTTCCTTGTGGCCAGAGTTATCTGGGCCCTTTCCCTCTGGTCATATTGGGTCCCTCTTATTTCTTCATTCCCACCGCTGCTCCTGTCCTTACAGCTGCTGCCCTGCCACTGAGAGCCACTGCTGGTACCCACTTGTCTCCTCAATCCTTACCATACTTGGTTTCCTTGAGACATTTGACCCTGTGACCACACACACAACTTTTTGAAGCTCTCCTGTCATTCTGTGCTTTCTTTTTTTTGCTTAATGGTACCTCTTCCTAGTTTTCTACATGTCACACTTCTTCTCAGAAATATTTACCAGTTCATTTGCCTTTTTTCACCCCTTAAATGTCCCTGTTCCCCCGGGTTCTATTATTAGACATTTTCTCTTTTTGTTCAGAATGATCTCACCAAGAAATCTCATCAATGCCCGAGACTTCAATTACAGCTTTAAGATTGATGACTTTCAAATGGCTCTTCTAACCTTTAGGCACATATATCTAACTGCTGATTTCATATCAACAGTTGTAATCTATATCTAATTACAAGATATCTAACTGCTAAGACATAAATTCTTAGATGTTTGTAAGCTGACCTATACATCTTCCTACTATTTCCACTATTGCAGAACTTAAACAAGTAATTTGTAAATTATTTAACATAAAAATTAGATAAGCAGCATATTAAAAATTGCTATTTCCTAAGCCACTTTGTTTCTTCTGTAATGCTGGTTCTTAATGTAGGGTCCATAGATGTCTTAAGAAGTAGAAAAACTATAGTGTTTATAGACATTGCAGAATAGCTTTTTAAAAATAGTTATACATAGTGCAATGGGTTTCTGCCAGTGTGACATTTTACCTAATAAAAAGTTTCATCCAAACTGAGTGAACAAATGTCTTTTAGAGAAGAAACTGGTCAAAATCATAATATTGGGATATGTTGAAATCATATGTTGAGGTTATCTATATAGAATGGACAATATTTGGAGAAGACCTAGAATCTTGAGAATATATGCAAATACTAAAACACACATCTGTATAGTAATCAATATTCATATCACTTTTGCATACCTTAGCTTATGTAATTTTTATACTAGTCCCCTGAATAAGTCAAATCTTATCCTCAGCTTACTGATTTTTAAAGAAATATACAGCTTAGAGAAGTTAAACAACTTTTCCAAGTTCACAAAACTTATAAGTGGGGTTGCTAATGAAAGTGCCCGGAGGGTGAGATCCTGTGTCCACTCCTCCTAAGGCATTTACACTGAGAAAGTAGCTGAACTTTTAAATGAATATATAATAAATACATTCCAAATGAAGAAAGTGTGTATTTTATAATTTACATAATTCTGCATTTCGTTCTTCAGAATTCGTGTCAATAAATCTCCCTTTAGTATGGACAAATGGCAACTAATTCTGTTCCCTAAATATTTCCAATGATCTTCAACTGTTGATATGAAATTACAGCAAGGGGCCAAATCACAAGGCTCTGGAGAATGTCATCATTTTAACACTGCTCAGATTGCCATAAAAGTACCAAATAACACGTGGTTCAATTGTAGTTAAATTACTACAGACCGATCTTATCCAGCAGGCAATGGCCAGGATTTTACTTTTATTACTGATAATTTAGATTTTAAGAGCCTTAGGAATTCAATGAATGTACAAATACTAATTATTTGTACATTTAATTTAAATTTTCATTTAAATGTTTTTAAACATTGTTTTGGAGGAAGGAAGAAGAGAACTGCAGTTCTCCACAAATAAGGCATTCAGAATGAGAAACTAAATTTTGAGACTCTAATCCACAATCATGTAAAATGTCCTACCTTATTTTAAGCTTAATTATTTTTCTAATACCTCTGTCAAATTTGCAGACACAAAGCTTTATCTATTAAATAATGAATGTTTTTTTCTATTATACATAAATTCATAAGAGATCTCATATAAATATAAAACTACTTCGAGGTAGAAATTTAATTTGGAATGAAAGCTTTATACCTATGTATTTTATGTCTGTTATTCAGTTTACGTAAAATAGGACTTAACCAAATGTTTCTAGCTTGTGTGGCCTGTAGATTTGCTCTTATATCACAAAGAAATTTATATCCTTGCCACTTTTTAAACCCTGGAATAACCTAGAATTCTGAAATAATTATTTTTCCTTGAACACATTGGTCTGTTACACCTCTGCTCTATAATCATTAGCTGGTTATCAGAATTCTAATATGCTTTATAATAGTGACATGAAAGAAGCACATGAACTATTTAGTATTCTGATAAAGGATATTAATTAGAAACAAACAGTTTTTACGTTGTAAATGTAAAAACTTTATGTCCTGAATATATTATACAGAACATAAAGAGTAAATCTCACTCTTTTGGGACTCCAATATTTACCATAAAAATGCTTAATAGCATCTATATAATTTTTTCTTCTTTTTGTCCCTTCTTTGTAGTTGTTTGAAATTACAGTGCCTCTCTCTCAAGGCCCCAAACCAGTAACAATCAGTTTTGCCAATCACACTTCCTGCCGGTGCATGTCTAAACTGGATGTTTACAGACAAGTTCACTCAATTATTAGACGTTCCCTGCCAGCAGCCCTGCCACAGTGAGTATGAATTAAATCTATTTTCTCTGCATCCTCTACTAATATAAAATTATGTTCAAGTGAACACCATTTATTAAAATGACTTTTGTGAAATTTGCTATTAAATACTTTACATCAAATACAAAAGAAAGCAAATTTAATAGGGCACCAGAAAAATAAAAAACTGAAACAAGGAAGCCCGCTATATAGACACAATAGTTCACGAAATAAAAGAAGTATTTCTGTGGAATAATATACTTTCCACTAATATTTATGCTATCTCTAATTTAGCCTTATTAATATATAACATTCATGAAATCAGGTGTGCAAACTCATACATTATGTTAAAGCTAAAAAACATTTAAACATTGATAAGATTTTGGTCTGAGACAAAAAGTAAGTATAAATAAATTATTTTACATCTATTAGCATTCATTGCCTTTCTTAAATCTCAGTTATTTTTCTCTATATGTCTTTTCATATTTTTATTTCAGCAAGGACTGAATATTGATTAATTGCTAGAAAGAATTTTCTCTTATTATTACTTCAGATTAACATTCAAAGTAATGTGTTATTTAAATTTCCTTTGCATCTTATATTTTGGTTTGGTAAATGCTTTATTTGGTCATATATAATGACCTGGATAAAGCATCAGGTATTGACTCTGCCAGTAGTTTGTAGTGAATCATTATGTATTTGGGATCTAGCAACTTTTTGCTTTCTGCCCCCAAAAAGAGGATGCAGCTTTTCATTCTTTAAGGACATCCAGTGCATAAGGAATGTGTATATGAATGAAACTCCAGCATTTGTAACAAAAGTATAAAAAAAGTGATGGGCAAATGTATATATTACAAATTAAAAACAAAAAACAAAAAAACTTGCATCTCGGGATTCAGCAATAAACGTGATACACTAAATAGCAGTTTTTCCCCATTGAATCTCTTTGTACTGCTTTACTTAGTGTTATAGATAGGAGGCCTTATCTCTTTCAGGAACACTTTAGGAAAAACTCAATAGCCTAATTTGAGTGACACAGATCTGTCTTCCTTGACATGAGAAAGAAAAGATCTTACAGGCATCTGTGAATAAATTCATGCTGATGCATTCAGAGACAGCCACTACCTGAAGCTATCGTATATGAGATGTCATCCATGTAGCTCTGAGAGGTCTATTCACCTGTCTCCCTTGGTAACTCATTTATTCTAAGAACTTCAGTCATTATCTTTGTGCTGATGGTTTCCAGAATTACAGTTCAAGACCTGGCCATATTATTGATTTAATATTTTATCTAAATCTACCTTATATTGCTGTTTATAATTATGTTAGATATAATATATACAAAATCAAAGATTTTTTAAATTCCTTCATTTACTTCTACATTATTCATTGTAATATTCTCTCATGTCCTTTGAGGCCTTAAACTCACAGTTGTCATTAATTACTTCTTTTTCTTATATCATCCTGAAAACTTGATTATTTGGGGGGAGAGGGGATATCTGCTCCAACCTACACTTATATTTCATTTCCATCACTGCCATCCTCATCCACTTCATTCTGCATGTATTTCTGATTTAATGCAGTGGTGTCAATAATAGTTTTCTTGTATCAGATATTTCTTCAACTTCTGTATAATGTCACAAGTAAGCTTTAAAAGGCAGCATTTTATTCATCTGACAAAAAACTGGCAGTGACTTTCAACTGCTCAAAGAATTAAGCACAGATTTCTCACCTCTCTATTCTGGTATCGGCCTTTCTTTATTCTATTGTTTCCTCTTATTCACTAAGTTTGTGTTTCACAAAGTCTAATACCCTGAACACCAAGCTCATTTCCTGCTCCATATCTTGTTTCTGTTATGTCCCTGGTCCTTTCTTTTCTTCCTTTCCAAAAATCCAATCTACTCTCAGGGTTCAGGTAAAGGTCTTTCTCCTACAGTTGTCTTGTCCAAATACCACAACCACCTTTGCTTCTTGAATACTCATAGCTATTACTGCTTTTATTTTGTTCTCACATGGATTTATAGGAGTCTGTAAATGTGACATGTGAAACTGAACTATGAGACTATTTCAGGTAGGTTTATATCCTCCATAATATCCAGCTAATAACACTTAAAAATAATTGAGCTGTTACTACACTTTCATCCCTTTAAATACATTGTTACACATTTAATCATCACAAAAGTCATCTATGAAGTTTGTAGTAGTACTATCCTATTATACAGATGAAGCAGAGTTAAGAGCTAAACAATATACTACACTGATCAACAAATGCTTGCTAAATAAAATAACATATTTATCTGTATATATTGCATGTCATTTGCATATTTTACTCTTGTTTTCATCATTACTTATTCACTATACTATACACTGTTTGAGGTTAAGAAGACACAAAAACAGCAAAAAGAGCCTGGGCCTTAGAGGAAGACAGATATCAACCTGAAATGAGGTCCGCCACTAATTAGCTTTTAAAGATTGGGTATTTCATGTGTCTGAACTTCCATTTGCTTATATATAAAATATAAAGACTTAAAGAAGATTGAACTAAATACTGAATGCTCATATAGTGCTAAGCACCATGTCTGGCATCTAAGAGATTGACATTAAAAGGCAGATTTGTTATCATTAAGCTTCATTTCTGAATATTCTTCTCCTTGTCTCTGTGTTTTTCAGTGTTTTTTACCACTAGCTACAATAAGAAAGGTATTGTATATTCCAAGCCAGTATACACACAACTATTTGTGTGTAATACATATAGTTTTAAAGTAGATAACTATATAACTTTAAATGTAGGTGTATAGTCATATATAACTATGAAAGCAAAACAAAGTATTATTTTAAAATGTTTTCTCATTGTAGTGCTGCTCAACCTTTTTTCATTATTGCCCCTACTAAGAATCCTTACATACGCATTTTTTCTTATCACCACCCCGACGACATTTTAATCTCACAGACATATTTATATCCCATTATGCGTCTTATGTATTTCTGGAATTTATATGCAAAAAAGGAAGTAGAAAGCTTATCTTTTCATTCAATGTAGGATTTAAAATGACAAAGTAAAATTTATATAGTTAAAAATTAAATAAAAACATAAAAGATATTAACATTGAACATAATTTTATGACTATTTGCTGAAAAGCAGTTAAGGTAATTTACGTATATAATTGGTACTATATATCAAATTTCATATGGAAAGTAGCAATTTATATAAATATATAAATATATTTGTATTTAATGTAATTTTCTATTTACATATAAATACATTTTAAATATTTTTCAAATATAATATATTATTTAAAAACATACAAAATGATAATTTTTCCAGCAAAAGTAAAATAATTTTAAAATAATAATTTTTTTAAACTTTTGCTTCAAATGAGAATACAATGTTTAACCTGTATAAATACTAGATAATCTTTAATGTCAACATTTTTTCTTCTCAGTATATGACATACTTATGATTTGAATAAATTTGTAGAATTAAAGAATAAAATAAATATAATCTATTTCTACTTAATTCTCAAAGCTCGAGTCAGATGCAAAAGCACCAGGGACCAAGCAAAAGTCACAGCCACAGGCACCCCACAGGCCCACACAGGACCCTCTCAGTGTATGACTTTGAGATCAAGCCGGGCCAAGAGAAAGTCCTCCAGTCACAGCTGTTTATTCACCATAATTTTATAGCCTTTATCTTGCACACACTTTGGATATCTGTCAGTGCCAGTGCTGCTCGTGCAATAGCCAGCAAAGCCCAATACAAATTAAAAACTGTGGAATAAGATTTTGATGGATTTTGGAGGGCCAAAAACCATTGTAAAATCTAAGATTTCTCCTCCCCAGTACCCCATTTTTACCCACTTACAGATAATATTGTTTCCAGTATGAATGCATGCCTTATTACATGTGAGGCACTCTAATACTTTTTTCTATTCTCTGTCTCTTTTTTAAATGTTGACCTCAACCTATTGCTAATTGTGACCCACAATTTAATAAAAATCTCCTATAATGATAATGCATATATGATAAATACACAGCTGTGTTACCAAATCATTACTTTTGTTAAGAGTTAACAGGAATAGCCATCACAAGGGCTAAAATTAAAAAGACTGAAAAATTCAAATGTTGGAGAGGTTGTGGTGCAACTGGAATTCTCAGATATCACTGGTGGAAATGTGAGATGGTACAACTACTTTACAAAACACTTTGGCTGAGGCTTATGAACTTAAATACACACTTACAACGTGCTCCATAACTTTTCCTCCTAAGTGTTTACTCAAGAGAAATAATTCCACACAATTACTTGTACACAAATGTTTATGTAACCTCTATTAGCCAATAACTGGAAACAACTCAAATGTCCATCAAAGGTGAATGGATAAACAAATGTAGTATATTCTATTCATACAGTGGAACATTACTGAGCAATATGAAAAGAATCAACTATTGATGCACACAATAGGAATGGATCTCAAAAACATTAAACTGAATGAAGAAGCTAGGCTAAAAAGAACACATAGTGTATGATTCAATTTACATGAAACCCTAGAAAAGACAAATATAATTTAGATTGAGAAAAAAGCAATTCAGTCATTGCCTGAAAATATGAGTGGAAGGAATTTATTGGAAAGGAGCAAAGAAAAGTTTTTGGGGTGATGGAAATCATTTTATTATGATAGTTGCATCAGTACATAAATTTGTCAAAAGACAATGAATTTAAAATAGCATTTTACTACATGCAAGTTATTCCCCAATAAAATTGATTTTTGAAAAGCCAAAAGAAGAAAAACCCTTTAATTTACTATAATTTTGAAAGTAGTTTGGGTTTAAAACAGTAGATTACTTGAACTCTTTATGGTGACACTTTAAGTCAAATCTTTAAGATTCTTATGATTCCTTACTGGGGAGGGCTTCCCAGCACTCCTTTATATAGAGTTTGAAATTTTATTCAGATTGTAGAGGAAGACAAAGCATGCCTTTTTCAAATGCATGGCATTATATTTACATTGTTACGAAGTTCAATAAGT